AGGCAGTCAAAATAAATGATAAAAAGGCATACTACATAAGTAGCCAGTTTTTTACAATAGATACGTATTGCTAGTGATCAGGACGAAGCTCGTTAAAAAGTCCACATCCTATCGTGACTGAAATGACTTCAGAATAGACTACGCGACACTCAGTATCAAAATTTGAGTCAATGCCGATTAGCGAAAGAGTATCAATATTTCGCTTATGTCGACATGTTGCGTGATCTTTGGCAATTACTGTATTCTATAAAATTGTTACCCTGCTTTTATGAACTACCCTGTTCGGTTATTGTCTCCTATCCTGGATTGGCGAGGCACAAGGAATCGTCGGGTGAATCAAGTCCCTGTCCCAGCGATCACAACCCTTTTTCTTCTAGCTTGTAACATCTTGTAGTGCGATAAGGACAGTCGGATGCAGAATGCCATTTGCCATACTGCCAAAAGGCTGTCTTTGGTTTCGTTGATGAACGTTTACCTGACTGCTAACGGAACTCATCTGTCCCGCTCTGTCTTGGACCTCGACAGAGACCCGGTCAGCTGTAACAGCTAGTACTAGACACATAGTATTGCCGAAAAAGAGCGAGTTCCGATGAGACAACAAGCTCATGGCTCAATGGTTAGGGCGTTTGACTGTGAGTTCGAGGCTCGGGTGGGACGCCACTTGAGTCTAGGTATGACTGGCTGACGATGGCTAATAAGCCAGAAATGGCCATTCCTGTCTTCCTGGTCTTTGCCGGCCATACCATCTGTCTTTGATCTCCTTGGAGGACTAAATTACTGTCACGGTTTGCTTCATACATGTATGCTGTCTGACTATTTGTCTCGACAACCAGCCTAGTGTCACCTTTGATATCTCTTATTCGAACACATTAGTTCTTTTATAGTCATCTCAGTTCGCGGATCTAGTTGAGCAGGTAGGCGCGTGCGAATGTCCGAATCCTCGGGAAGCGTCAAAGCTTTAATAAAAAGCAAGGGCTATATCTGTTGGCTAGTGACTTTTTCTAGGTGCTACGCGTTATTTAGTCGGCCGGCTAATTCGAAGTAGTCTTCGTGTGGCTGTATTTTTGTATTTTCAAATATTCAAAACGACTAATGGATAGCGATTTTGCAAAATGGAACAAAGACTTAAAATTCTTAATCGTGTCCGCAAATTGAAAATCAAGTGCTTCCTTGGTAATGAAAGTTTTCAGTATCGTTTGTTTGCTCGCTTGCCTCGTTTAAGCAGCAGGCTTTCCACTTTTGTCTTGTCGTCGAGTTGCGCTCCCTCTTCGAACAGCCCTTCATATTTTCGAAACCAGAATTTTTCTGGATCTCAGATGAACTTGGTGATCCGTTCCTCAATCGTTTTTCTTTTGTTCTCCCTGGATGCCGGTCCTCAATTCAACTGCACTTCTGTGAGTAGCGCCACGAAGCTGGCCTGCTGGACTTCCTGTATTTGCTTCATCTTTTCTTCTGTATCAGTATCAGTATATTTGAGGGATATGTAGGTGGATTGCCGTTGAGTTCTTTATTTGTACATGTGTGTCGTGGTAGCAGAAAAATGTTATCTGGGCTTTGTTGGTGAGGCCAATTGACCTGATCCATGAAGTAGTACATCGTTTTTTTTAAAGAGCAGACAATGAAATGAAATGAAACTTCTTGGGATTTTTTAGGATAAAAAGCTGTCGCTCTTGGTATGAGTTAGGCAAAAAATGAATGAAAGAGAGTCGGTTTCTAAGAGCGACAAATGTATTCAAGGCCTGCAAAAACAGCGTACCTCCAACCTCGTAAACTCTACCTTATTTATTGGAATTTTAGTCTTTCTCGAACATTCCTGCCAGTGGCGCGCGACGAGCGTTCTAGAGCATTCTGACCTACGGCGTGCCATATTGCGTTTCCCGTCTCCTTAACAGGTAACCCATGCAACCCAAAATCCCGCGTAGCCTAAAACAAGTCGTATGTAAATTACCGCATATGAACGCCTACCTGCCTATCTAGGTATATACGAAGTCAGATCGATACCAAGCTCTATTCTCACACGGAGTCAATGCCAATGACGCCCTTCAGATCGTCTACCGAATACCAACAAACATCTCGAAAGGTCTACGCTAACGGCCACTAGGCGCAGTCCTCAGCGGGCGTCCTCGTGACCAACTACAAGTGGAAATTGCAAGCCGTCCCAATCCCAAAGTGATAGTCATACGCACTCTGTGTCCTCGACCTACGAGCATCGCTCAAACCCCACTTCTAATCCCCCGGCCCTAATGTCAATGCCCACAATACGCCGGCCTAATCATGCAGTCGGCGTGGGAATGATAAGTGACGATAACCCATGCGCCACTGTGGTGGATGGCCAACAAATTCGGTGCCCTTCCTCGTACAAGGCCTGCGGCCCCCAATGTCATGTGCCTTCGCAGGCGGCTGCTTTTCCACTCGTTGACCTGAAGACCCTTTGACCGATATTCACTTGCACTTACGTGCGCACGCACACTCGTGCCCAAGAGTCGCGGCTGCCTAAGGGTCACTGAACACACCATTCTGTTGGCCAACACTACAGGCGACACCCCTTTGGAGCAATTGCGACACACCAATAGCAGACCACTTGAACTTGCTTTACAGCCACTTAAAAGCAGCTTCCCTTATCACATCTCATACACGACAGTTCCCCCGTCGATTTTGATGATGGGCAGCCGGGTGCTCCAACAAACCGCGGCAAACGTTGAAGCCAGGCGAAGCAGAAACTGAGGCAAGTTGGACAAGCTGCACGAAGGCTACAGCAAGCTGAAGCAACGTAGAGAACTACCGCGAATGAAAAACAAGAGTTAAAGCAGGCTCGCGGGACTCTCTGGCAGACAATCTCGGGCATGACTGGACACATTCAACATCAGCCCCGGCTTCCACAGCGGCCACTGCTGTCCGAGACAGCAGTGCAGCGTTCTGTACACAATAAATTCCTCAATCTCGTGACTTCTGTCTTTTACCTTCAACCTGGGATTTGGCCTGATAGTTGTATTGATCTGAGCACAACGACTACCTAGACGGCTGCAACAATTCTAAACTCTGTCAACCGAATTTGGCCGGAATAGCGTTAAAAGTGAACGCGCACGAGGTGCTCTGACGAGAGCGCTCGCGCACACACGCTAGCACCAACGTTCATGCACGCCCGATCGAGCAGCAGGGAGAGAGGGACGTCGATAGAGTCCTGACCAATGAGGATGCACCAATCAGAGCACGCAAATACCAACCTTAAAACGCGCCCTTGGCGGCCATAAGCCCAGCGCGACAGAGGAGGCCACAAAGTCTACCATTCCGCATTTTGCCATGGCCTGCCTGTGCGTTTGCGAGCTGCACTGCAAAGTGGACAAAAATAAAATTTACTTCGCTGTCGGTCTCGGCTGCGCCCTCCTCTTTCTCATTCTCGCCTTGGCGTTATCAAGTTGGCGTTGTGGTACCGTGCTGGACACCTGCCTAAATGGAGAATCCAAGGAATCCTATAGGACGGTGGGGGCCCTCCTGTTCTGTGCCATCTTAGTAAACCTCGTTGCCTTCACAATTGTCATCGTCGGTTGCATGACCTCATTTTATTGGACCACGCCAGTCGCCCTAGGACTGACCTGGATTGGAGGCATCCTCGCCTTGGCTGGAATTGCATTCTACTTTGATAAGTTGGATCCAACCTACTCTCCCCTCCTGGCTGTCGTCGGAATGTCCTTCACGTGGGCCATAGCGATCACCATAAGTATTACAATGATACATGAACGAGTATTTTAAAAAAGGACTCCTTTTGCGTGAGGATGTGTTATTGGAATGGTT